GGCTGAGGCGGCTGGAATGGAACACCTACATTCAAATTGTCCGGTATAGTCCACCATGTTAGGGAACATAGAACGGGCAGCGGAAGTCGGATTAGGTTGTTAGGCAAGTCCCTCTGCGGATGAAATGTTCTGTTGAAGAACAGTTGAAGAGGTTGAAGTCTGGCGTATGGAACGATAGCAACCGACGCGGCCATATGGCCCAGAAGTTTCTGAATGGAAAGAGCCGGTACCGTCCTGTCTCGTCAAATCCGATGACTACATGTGCAGAGATTGTCTTGAAGGGTTGGAGGAAGAAATGCCCTCATTAGGGTAGAATCGAGGCGAGCTCCAATGAAGTCGATCACCCGCATGGGGACAAGGGACGATTTTTCATGATTAATACATAGTCCAAGATCGTCCGGTAAAGCACAAGCTGTACGGACGGCTGAGAGAAGGTTATCCCTGGTCTGGGAAACTATAAGCCAGTCGTCTAGGCAAGGATATACTTGGATACCCTGAAGTCATAGATATGCACACACTGGAGCCAGGCATTTCGTGAATACTAGTGGAGCGGTGGCCAGCATCTTTTAAGTCCTGTGAGGCGAACCAATCCTCTCTCCTCAGCAACAGAAGGATATTGTGAAGAGTGGTCAACTGAAATTTCTTAGGTTCGATAAACCTATTAACATTTCACAAGTCCAGGATAGGACGGAGACCACCATCCCATTTAGGGACTGTAAAATATCTCAAATAGAATCCGTGGAGTCCCTCAGAACGAGAGAGTTGTTGAACTGCTCCTTTATGAAGTAGCTGACGAACTTTGTCTAGTAACACCAGCGAGCATGGCGTAAATTGAATCGGGCTCGACGGAGGAACGATGTTGAATTCTATTCTGTATCCGAGCTGGATGATGAATAAAACCCACCAATCAGATGTGATGGACTCCCAAATGAGTAGTCGGCTTTGTAGCTGGACCCCAAACAGGAGAGGGAAAGGTGGGAGTTGGAGAGACGGAGAGGTTTGCAGGGCCCGTCAGCACTGACACTTATCGGTGTCATAGCAGTGACGGCCCTGCGGGAAGCGCTGCTGCTTTCTGCGCTGTTGGCGCTGCTGGTACTGTTGCTGTGGTTGGAATTGCTGGTGGTACGATGGATGGGACCAGGACCACTTATGCCCTTGTTGCATCAGAATCTCCATACGACGGGCTGTCATCCGCGACTCGTGTATGGACTTGAGCTTGTGCTTCGTCCTGGCGCGGAAGAGTCCCGATCCATCAAATGGCACCTCCTCAATTCTATGCTCCATCTCCTCTGGGAAGTTGCAGCTCCTCAGCCAAGCATGCTGATGGAGGGAGATGGCACCAACTAGAGCCCTGGAGTCGGTGTCTACGTGATGCCGCACTGTTGAAAGTTTTTGTATAGCAACTTGCATTGCTTCCTTTATGAAGACTTTGGCCAAGTCTCCTTAATGGTTGGGCAGAGAAGAGGCGATGTTCTCGAGCTTCTGCATGATAAAGAACTGATATCGTGCAAGCGTCGCCTTGTAGTTCGATATGCGGAGGTCGAGTCCAAAGGTCGCACAGACTCAGCACACTAGCATATTGATCTTCCTGCCCTCCTTGTTGTGAGGAGCTGTGTGGCCCCTCGATTCCCTGCCCTGGGATGACTCGACCACTACCGAGTTCGGTTTTGGATGACGCTGGAGGAATGGGATGTCCTGCTCTCGAACCCGGTACATTGCCTCATAGCATCGAGATGTGGCCTGCGGCTGAGCCAGTAGATCCCAGGGCTGAACCATCACTTGGTGGAGCGTGGTTACAAGGGGTAGTACGATGGCTGCTGACTGCTCACCCCTGACAATGTCGTAGAACTTATCGGTGCTGGAATTGGGCCGATGTTGTGCCTCAATCTCCAGCGACCGAACAAGCCTAGACATAAGTTCCCTGAAAGTAATATGGGGCTCTTCTGGGGATCCTGGGCCCTGAGAAGTAATGGCCACATCAGGGGAGGTGGAGTCTGCCTCCGACTCATCCGAGTCGCCCTCGTAATAGTACTGCCCACTGGATGAGGAGTTCCCCAGTGAAGTGGGGTGTCTCCATTTCCCACGGCCAGACGTGGAGGGTGCCTCCCTCGGGACCGATGGCGATGGACGGTCCCGTGCTGATGGGTAGTAGCCAAAGGAATGGTATTCGTCCCAGCCCGTGTAGCCTCCATAACGGGGTTGGTCCCATCCTTCGACATGCCTGTCAGCGGAGCAGCTCTGGTACCATGGTGGTGAAAGAGGAGACTCCGCGGCTGGTCCAGATGGAGGCATCGGAGTCGGTGAGCGGACTCTTGGAGGGGAGTCACGGATTTCCCCGTCTGAGATGGACTCGCGCATCGGAGCCTCAGATCGTCGAGGGGACGCACTCTCAGCCCATAGGACCTGTCTAGGGGATCCCGGCGGAGTGACCTGCATGGCCGATTGCAGGGTTGGTCCCGATGGGGTCGGTACCGTAGCAGCCGCCAGTACCGAGGGCACAGACGAACCCAAACCATGTTGTTTAGTGTGGTCGGGCTTCTTCGCCTTGTGGGCCAGCTTGTCCGCCTTGTCCTTTTTCGCCTTCCTATGGCTGGAGGACTTATCAGAGCCGCTGTGCTTTCTCTTCTCCTGTTGCTTAGTAAGAGGAGAAGGAAGCTGTTGAGTCCCCATCGATGAAGTGCCCTCGTCCGAAGGGTGCGGTGGGGGCGTGGCAGAGGCCGAGGCAGGGCGCTGAGAAGGCGCGGCCAAAGCAGAGCCAGGCTTTGAGACCAACTGGTCTGACTGCATAAGGGCCTGGTCCCAGAGCAGTTTACGGAGATGATTCTCCCGGTTCTTTCTGGCCTGCTTGGTGAAGGCCAAGCAGTGGCCACACTTGTCTGTTCTATGCCCCTCGCCAAGGCAGAAGAGGCACAGATTGTGTGGCTCTGCCAGAGACATTTTAGACCCGCACTCGGTGCATTTCCAAAAGGCCGCTCGCTGTGCCATCAGAAAGAGAAAGAAGAAGAGAGTGAAGAGGGAAAAGATAGTATTTTTGGTGTTTTTTGTTTTTTTTGTTTTGAAAGGAGAACGCTAGAGAGAGAGATATCAAACAAGGGGGAAAGAACTTGGAACTAAGTAGAACAATTAACAAGTTTAACAAGAACAAAGAGATTGATATACGAGAGCAGAAAGGCACGAGGCACAGCGAACGGCGGTCACAAAAGACGGGAGAAAATGGGGGACACTCCACTCTATATATAGTACTGGGGGGGAGGGGAGTTCTCCCACCAAAAACCGTTAGCTTTCTAAACTTTCCGGCCTTAGGCTGTGTGTGATGCACAGAGGCCATGACAAAGAACTGGCCCAGTCACTCAGTGAGCTTTGTGAGGGGTCTAGAACTCAGATTTCTCAGATTCCAGTTCAACATTCTAACATTATACTACGCTAGCTCTCAAAATTAGAAAATTGTAACAATATTTATGTGTTTGTCCATGATTTTTAGTACATTTCTTTTCTTAAATTTAAATTATGTATGAAAAGTTTGGAATAACATCTTCCATCAAACCTATCCTGTATAGCCAAACTTGGCAGATAATGGGAATTGTACGCTAAGGATGTGTAAAGAATCAATTTTGGGGTTGGGTTGGCTCCAAAAACCTTAGTCCACTTTGTTGTGGTTATGAGTATGGCTAGGACAAACCCTTTCTGGGTTTTATCTTATGCTTAGTCTGGTCTTCCAAAGCCAGCCAAGCTGAGAGGAATTCTGAGAACTCTCACAGACACCTGGTTGTGCAACTGACAACCTTTTCCCATATCAGGTGCAACAGCTTCTATGGTTGCTGCAGGTGGCATTTTAGAGGGGTGCTGCCTGCACTGCAGTCATGCAGAGTTCCTTCACAGGCAAGCCCCTCACAACCAGTATTCCTCAGCATCAGCTGTAGCAAGCCAAATAGGGAGTATACTTCATACAGCAGAGGGGCACTACTTGCATAATGCATGGAGTTCAATTCCTGGCAAATGCCCTGCAAACATTGGATACTCAGTTCTCAGTCTGACCTGCAAGGAACTTGGACTGAGGACTGCTACAACATGGAGCAGAATCCAAAGAGCTGAACCCCAGGAATCCAATGAATTCCCACATCTGAACAGACTTCTCACACATCCCTAGCTGTGAGTCTAAGCTTCTGGCAAGCATATTCAGTGTTTGTACAGTGTTCACCAAGAATTGAGCCCCACTTTTGCTTGTTCAGCACGTAACACAACCACAATTCCACAGGTGTTGATATACTTCCTCTCAGCTTTGCTCACTTTCTATGACAGGACCAAGCATTAGAGGTAGCGCCAGAAGGATGAATTCTGTGGAGCTTCATTGCAACACTATTGCAGACTAAAACTTCTGGAGACCTTCAAGTTGCTCATCACTAACCAAAGCATCAGAACATTTTCCAATGCAAAGTTAAAATTTTCCTGAATGAGCAACCTTTGGCAAGTGAACCTAAATGTATAAGAAAATGTTTCAATACAACTGAACATCTTCCTACATAAATAACCGTATGCAAAACATTTCTGGAAAACCCACATCAAATCCATCACTGCAACTGCAACTGCATATATGAGTTGGGTGGAGGAGCCCACATAAGTAGCTTGGATGATTCTTGAATTTTTTACTACAGCCTTCACCTGACTGAACAAGTACGTTTTTCCTTAATTTGGAAAAGCAGCTTGTATGCTCTGATAGATGACTGGTTATAATAAATATTTTCAAGATGACTCCAACTACACAATACTTTTACCCTGCCCATACTGTAGCTGTCGTATTGTGGTCTATGCCCAGATATCAAAGATTTCATATAACCTCAATCTCTCCTCCTTAGATGTTTTCATCCTATTTATTCTTCAGAAACATTAGCCTATGCTATAACCTGGTCAGCTGAGCTATTGACAATCAAAAACAGAAAGTTCAAAGCACAATACAGATTGTAGTTTTATTTAGAAATCGTTCCCAGAAAAAACTGGCTTACCTACTTCATGATGACTGCGATTTACGAGGTCCCTATATAATTCAAAAATAATTACTGTGGTAGCATCGTTAAACAAAGACTCGCCTTTAATTAAGTTGATAACTATTTTTGAAAGGCCTAAAGATAGAGAATGGAAAAAAACATCAATGAAGCAAATCACTTGAGTTTTTACACTTAACTGGAAGTAGATGACTTAGCTGTAACAACTGAGGATTTCCCACAAGTTTGATGTGCTTTTATTTATTAAGAATCATGGAGCATTACCATTCCCCATGCTCACATTTTCTTGTGAGCATGGGGAACGGTACTTTACAATGGTACTTATACTTTACATATAAGTGAACCTATAATCTATTCCTTCTATGATGTTGTCCCCTGCATAGTTATAAACAGTGTCCTCATATTTATTTCAGATGCCTGCCATTTATAGGTTTCTTTCTATAAACCAAAGCATGCACACATCATAAAATATTCCAGCAATCTGCATAGCCATATTCAGTGGGGTACTCTTCTTCATAGAATCATACAACAATAGAGTTGGAAGGGGCCATGAAAGCCACTGGGTCCAACCCCCTGCTGTTGCAGGACACCAATTTATACCAACCCACTCAAATGGCCAGTTTCTTCTTGAATGTCTCTGGTGTGGGAAAGCGTAAATATACTGGGTCACAAAATGTCCTATGTCCTTTTGAAATCATTACAAGTTATTCTTGTCAAGTTTTAAGCATCCTCCCTCATCCAAAAGATGAGAAACTGAAATTTGAAATCCTTGTCACACTGATTGTAGGTAGATGTGGAAATCTTCCATTTGAAGTGAACTGTACTAGATTTTTTTAAAGGGAAAAAAGCCATGGCAAACCTGAAACAGCTCACAATCACAGTATAGAGGGGGGAAGACAATGCCAGCCGTCTTCAAGTGCTGCTTGGGGACTTTTGAAGTGGCTGGCATTGGTGGGTACAAGGGCAGGCTTAGCAAAAGTAGCACTGGGTTTTTGCTCTTCTTGACATAGCCAATTCCTTGTATTCATGAAAGGGTTGGTTACCCAAATTCAGACAATATGACAATCCATTGTGGGTTCAACAAGCCCTAAGACAATCCATGGGTTGTCAGGCTGGCTTGCTGCCTTCAAACTAGCCAACTTACATGAACTGGTCTGGGTGCACACAACATAACAAAGCACCTAGGGAAGCAACCCACAATGGTTTGTTGTGTCATGCAAACCCAGTCTACATCGATTAATTCAGCTATGTGAAACTAAACTGTAAACAATATGCTACAAATTGTATAGCATTATACAAAAGGTCCAATATATTAAAAATTAATGTACAATTTTACCCACCAATGTTTCTTACAGAAGCCACAGAAAGGACAGGATCTGTTGTGCTAAGAATTATTCCAAACAACATGCTATCATCCCAGGACCAATTATACTTATTAATTTTGTAAATCAACCATCCAAGGAAAGCACAGTTCATCAAAAAGCCAGGAACTGCAAGAATTAACACCTATAAGGACAATGTTATATATATCCTATTAGCATTAAAATGTTCATAATTATTAACATCTCAAAATAATTTGCTATATATAATTACTTTATAATGCTATAACAGTAAAATGCTCATATTAACTGAAATGTGAAGAATATTACACTTCAATTATTTACAACCATATAAAATGCATTTATTTATATCAATAAGCAATATTCTTGAGAAATCACAAACCCACAATATCACAGGTCAGAATTCCTCTTTACTTTTGGCTGCTTACATCTCCACAGCAGCTCATTGTATAAAGGAGTTATACTAATCTGGGGCAGGACATGACTGTTTACCATAACTGTAATTCTTCCAGTGTGCAGTCACATATAAGGGTTGTGTGTCTGTGCAGAGCTCCACTCAGGAAACTGCTATGGCTAGAGCAGAATTTTGCTGCATGCCCTGTTCCCACCCTCTCAGCCATACTCAAGACTCTTGCCTTCCCACTCTGTTCCATTTCCAGCCAACATAAGGATTATAGAAACAGAAACAATAACTGAAATATAGTTATTGCAACTGCAGCAGATTAGGAAAGTGGGCTGTGTGACTGTACAGATGACCACTGGAAGAGGAGGCAACCTGTCTCTCTTCTATGTGGTCTCTGGCCAGCCTCGCAGAAACTTACTTAACATAAGTAAGGCAGGTGCTAAGAAATCAACGGGCTGATCACAATCCTTCCAACAAAATATGAGTCTGGCCCTGACAGTAAGCTGGACAAAAGTGGAGGGCTAAGCAATAAAATGTGATGGTGAGATAGCTTAAGAGAAATTAGCCAAAAAAATGCCACAAGCAGCCAGTCCCCATATGAAAGGGACAGATGTACTGAACATAAAAATGGTGACAACAGCCATGTAATTAAAAAAATCTAAGAGCACAGGCAAGACCCAGTGGGAGGGTCCTAAATTTGAAGACACACTCCCCAAAGGTAACCCAAAGATATCTGCAGAGTCATAGCAGAACAGCAATATGAAAATAAGCAACTTTCAGATCAATGGGTATGAAACCTCTTCCTTGAGAATGTGGGGATAGACTACTGTCAGGGGTTACCACCCTTAATTTCGTGGAACTGATAAAGGTGTTCAAATCCTTAACAGTGGAGATACTTACATAAGCCTTAATGTTATTGCAAAATGACTTTGGTAGGCAGGAAGAAGGCACAAATAATATGCATGGAAATGCAGAAAAAATAAATTAAAAGAAACAATCTGGGGGGAAAAAACTAGATACAAGTCAGAAGCTAAATGTGAGGGGTTAAGGGCTTTGGTGGATAAAATTAAGAGAAACCAGAGAATAGTTTCCCTTTAATGAACCACCGGTGACAAACACAGCAATATTTTGGGATGCATTTAAAGTTTGGATATAGGAACATTTATCACAACAGGAATATGTTATAAGAGACATTGAGATACAAATCACAATATGATCCCAAAATAATTAAAAGAAGCAGAAATTCTCATTAAAAGACTACAACAAAAAGCAGGACACAAAGGGTAGAGATAGCAAAGTCTAAGTTAACAGATGTTTACTCAGGCCCTAAATATTATAGTCAAAACAAAGAATATTTTAATATAGCTGGCACCCCAACTTTATTTATTTATGCCATTGTATGCCACCTCATAGCTCAAGAGCTCCCTGGGCAGTTCACAGAAACAATAGCATACAGAATAAAATCAGCAACTTAAAAAAGTAATAACCCATCATCATAAAAAATGACATGGGAACAGGAGACAGAGCACATGACAAATAAAAGCAAGCAGTAAGAAAAACAAATAAACCCATAATTTTACTAAAAACACGTACAAAATAAAAATGTCTTCACCTGGCAATGGAAATAAACAGAGGGTACCAGTCACAACTCCTTAGGAATGGCATTTCAAAAGTGTGGCACTATAGCAGAAAAAGCCCCATTCCTTGTTGTTTCCCTCTTCAGTTCATGCGAGGGGCAGGGTTCACGTAGAAGGGCATCCATAGAGGATCTTAAGGGTCTGATAGGGATATATGGCGACAGATGTTGCCTAAGATGATTAGGCCCCAAGCCATTTAGGGCTTTATATGTTAATGCACATACTTTGAATTGGGCATGGGTGGCAACCAGCAGCCAATGCAGTTGGTGAGGACCGGTGAGATTTATTCTCTAGGATTAGTTCTCGTTAACAGGCCTTGTCTGCTTTCAACTAACTGAAGTGCCCAGACTGTTTTCAAAGGCAGCCCGATATAGAGTGTGTTACAGTAATCCAGGCAAGAGGTTACCAGTGTGTGGATGACTGTGGCTAGGCTCTTTTCATCCAAGTAGGAAAGTAGCTGAGAAACCAGCCTAAGCTGATGGAAAGTACTCCTGGGCAACAAGTGACAACTCAGGGTCAAAGAGTACCCCCAAGTTATGAACCTTGTCCTTTAGGGGAAGCACAATCCCATCCAGGACAGCTTGAAAATTTCCCAGACAGGCTGCCCACCAAGAGCACCTCCATCTTGTCAGGATTAAGCTTCAGCTTATTGGTCCTCATCCAGTCCATTACCAAGCCTAGGCACTGGTTTAGAACAGTCATTGTCTCACCTGGGTTAGATGAGAATGAGCGGTAGAGCTGAATGTCATCCCCATGTTGGTGACACTTCAGCCCAAACCTCTAGATGATCTCACCCAGCATGATATGTTAAACAGCAGGGGGACAGAACAGAGACCTACAGAACTGGTGCAGCATGACAAACTCCAAGCTCCACTGACTGGAGAGGGTCAACCTGATAGGAGTGGAGCCATCACAGAGTGGTGCCTCCAGCTCCCAACCCAGCCAACCTCTCCAGAAGGTTACCATGGCTGATGGTATTGAAATCCACTGAAAGTTCCAGGAGGATCAACAAGGTCCCACTCCCCCTTTCTCTCTCTGGGCAAAAATAATCCAACAGGGTGACCAAGGCTGCTTTTGTTCCAAAACCAGGCCAACAGCCCAATTGAAATGGCTCTAGATAATTCATTTCCTCCAAGAGCACTTGGAGCTGCCCAGCCACAACTCACTCGAACACCTTTCCAGGAAGGAAATGTTGGCTAGAGGACAGTAGTTGTATACATCTTCAGAATCCACGTCTGGCCTTTTAAAAAGTGCAACCACTACCATCTTTAAAGGGGTGGGTACCATCCCTTTCCTCAAGGTGGCATTTACTACCTCCTGAATCCAGGGATGGATTCCTTCCTTACATTTCCTCTTTAGCTAAGATGGGCAGGGGCTGAGTGAGTAGTTCATGGGACGGACATGACCAAGCACCTTGTCCTAATTCTTGGACCATGAACTAGATGGTGCACTGGACACCCCTGCCAATGGAACTGGGATAACTGTAGTGTCTAACTCATAACAAATCCAAGTGATTTTATCCCTAAAGTGTTGTGAAAATTCATCACAGCAGGACTCTGAAGATTTGTTGGTATCTCAATTTGGGCCAGTGTGTAAAAGGCCCCAAACAACACAGAAGAGCTCCACCAGATGACACTTCAAGGATGTAATGGAGGTGGCAAAGATGTATCTCTTTGTCATTTTCCCCACCATGGAATAGGCCTGATAATGGGCACAAAGTCATGTTCGGTCAGGTTCGGTCAGGTTTGAGTTTTCCTCCACCTGAGCTCTGGCTGTCTACCCTCTTGCTCCATCACCTGTAGCTCTGGTGAATAACACGAAGCCAAAAGGGCTCAACAAGAGAGAAGCAGGTGCTTGGGAGCGATTGTGTCAACTGTCTGGGCCATCTCCCCATTCCACAAGGTGACCTGGTCTTCAACAGGTGCACCAACCATGCCAGCCAGAAATTCTCCCAGAACCTTCTGGAAACCTTCTGGATCCATTAGACTCTGGGGATGGACCAACTTAATGGATCCCCCACTCTTACAGAGGGACAAAGCGGTGTTATTTAAGGCACATAAATATAAACATAAAATATACACTGTGGTGGAGTGAATCTTGGGTGTCCAATCTGTGACTCTGGTGCTCAATCTGTGACTCTGTTTGTAAAAGCTGAATACATTCTGAGCCGAATTGACTGAATTGCCTCAAATACAATGGAATTTGGCAAAGGGTGTTTAAACTGAAAGGCACAATTCTCATTTTGTAACCAGAATAGTGCCTCAGTGCCCATGGTATGAAGGAGGGCTTTGACCAGGAATGTTTATTTTACTTGCAGAAGTGCAGGTAATAAAGTAATAGCAGCCAGTACTGGTATGCATGTAACAGATTACATGCAGGGCCCTGAATATGGGTGAGGAGTGTGTATGTGTGTGGGGCGTTCCTATGCACTTCCTGTGGGTGCCTTTCCTTTTTTCCTGCTAGCTTAAGTGTGTGTTTTGACTGGGGGTGTGTGACTGAGAACTGTGTGTTTTTCACTAAAATTATCACTATGATTTCTGTGAAATGAGCATTTTATTGTGCACTGTGAGGGCAGATAATTGATTTGACACTTTGACCCTACCCTTGCCTTGTGCAGTTTCATGGGCAAATTACTGGTCTCTGACCTTCAACAGTTTGTCTTTTGTGAAATGACAGCTGAAGCAGAAAAATATGGATTCAAAGGCATGGTTGTCTTTTGATGCTCAGACTGCACCTCAGCCATGCACTTAGAAAAGTAAGTGTATGGATAATGCATGAGTGAATGGGTAAGAAGCCCTCTGGTGGCAGCTATTTTGTGAGACAGCAATGATATTCTATCAAACATTCCAGATAAGCCAACTGGTCAAAAAAGATGGCACTAGGATTACGAGCCCTGTTGCCAAGGCTCCCTCTTTTCTCTCCTGAGGAAAAATAGCAAGAAACTTTGAATTTTTTTTGCCCAACACATAGATGCACAGAAATTAAGAAAACGTTATATCCTAAGAACTGAAATGTTAGCTTTGTAACAAAGTGTTTTCCATATGGAAATGATTTTTAATTTTTTTCATTTATTTAAAACTTTTATAAGCCATCCTCTATGCATCATTTTAGAAAGAGGTCCCTTTTTAAAATAATGTAGCCAAATGTTCAAGTATAAAAATGAATTTTTTGAGGGGAGTACAGAGCCAAGCAAAGGCAACAATTGTATACCACATCAAGAATTCCAAATTTAAAAACCCCAACCCTAGCTAGTTAACCCATGTTAACTATCTGAATCTTGTATTCCAGAGCATACACAGAGTTAATTGTCCAGAGGATAGTTCACAAACATTGAGCAACTTTTATAGGACTTCAAAAGATCAGTAAAAGCCAGACCCTTAGCAGAAACTAGGGATTTATGAATTCAAAATCTGTTCCATCTATGTTTCACAGATTGTCAGGAGCCATCATCCACCCAATGGCAGAATCAGACTTCACCCCCCACCACCAAAGTCTTTGCATACATCTGTACAAATTCAGAGTTGCACAAATGCACACTACCCCCAATGCACAAATCCCTGAAACATGCTTATTTTTATGTTTTAGCCTGTGGAGAAAATGTACATTTTAGTGAATTTTTAAAGAAATGCACACTTTTTCCTATGAGAAAATTTGAGTAAAAATTACATAAAACAAACACCTGCAAGTCTGCAGAACCCACACAACCTGGGAAAAGCCAATTCACTGAGGAATCTGAGAGTCAGCTTCTTAGAAATTCAACCTATTTGCTTCCATTCTGGATTTTTCTGACATGCCCAACAGAGACTAATAGTTGTTTTGTCCACTGAAGTAGCACCCTCTATTTTATTGGTCTAGCCAACAAACCAGTTATTTAGTGGCTTGTCCCAACTTAATAAGCTCTAAACATACATCAGCCAATTGGACTGAACTACTCAGAAGAACACATTGCTTGTGTAAAGGAAAATACTGAAGAATAAGCCAAAATGCAAGTTGGAAAGACAAAGAGGAGAGCAAGATTGAACACATAAAGAAAATGTTGAAAGAAAAACGTGTGTGCAGTTTCTTTTTTTCTCTAACTTCCATGAACAAAATTCCTTATACTCTTGCTGTGGAGGTCAAATGAAAACTGAGCAGGAAAGTGGAAGCCACACATCCCAGAATGTGCACTGAAAAAACAGGGCAAGGTAAGTGCCAGAACACAGCCTAGCTACAAAGTTCTCCTAAACTGAGCTCTGCATGGGCACATGAGCCATATGTGGGAATTGTATAAAGAATACAAAGAAGAATTACTCTTTATCAATATCTCTGATTTGTTTATGTGGTCATTTATTACAATAATTGCATTTCTATCCCATCCTTCCTCCAAGGAGCTCTGAGCAAGGGGATATCTAATTTTATTCTCTTGTAAAGCAAATTAGCCAGATGGACAGTAACTTGAGCAAAGGCAACAGCTGAACAGCAGAACAATGATGGGCATGTTATCCTAGCATTAGAAAGACACAATCTAGCAATGCTGTCACATAGCTGCTTAGAGAACCTCTGATCAATATACTGGAGAAGAAGTATAAGGCAAAAAGCAAGGGTTCAAATCTTTTCTAAACTGAAACTTCTACACTTTTTTTGCTAAAACTAGATTTAACAGATATCCTTCTCTCAAGGACCAGTTTCACGGTTTGGTAATATGCATTTGTGAACAACGTACAGTTATGTTCTGATACTGATGTTTAAAAATAAGACACCTCTGAATAAGAAACTGCAAATTGTACACCTTACCTGCCAAAATGATTTTCGAAATATATAAAAATCCATTTCAAATGAAGCTGTAAATATTATAACTGGTGTAAACAAATGAAGGAAAAGTACAGGATCTATTTCTGCAATGCTCTTCACAAAAGGTAACTGGTAATATAAATAAACATAAGGAATTATTAACCAAGAATTATTTATATTATAAAATACTGCAATTTTATCTCCCTCCCTGACACACAATCCAATGCCACAGAAAAAGCAATATAGATGCAGAACAAGGAATACTGATTTGACTCAAATTGGAATTGGGTTCAGCAAACCAAGCTATCTATTTTTTTTTTCTTAAATCAGAAAATAACTCCCACACTCAGTTCCAAAATGGAGTTCTCATCACACTGATGATATGATCGAAGCATGATGGGATCCAAAACTTCCTGCAAACACCTTCCCCTGCAAGTTCTTCTACCCTGTTTGGCTGCTGCCCCTTCCTGTTTATCTGCTTGTGATGAGAGTTCCTGTTGAAGGCTTAGTGACATCTATTCCTTTCTCGTTCCTCTGGTACCTTGATTGTTAGAAAAATAGTATCCCAGATATAGCCCTGGAAAATGTAATTATTCAGGGAGCATTCAAGTTCTTAACATATGGAAACTACATTCCATGACTGTTTGCTCCTCAGATGCTGCCACAAGCATGCTGTCAGGAGGCCAGCCTTTCCCCCTCCCCTTTCTCCTTCCAAGCTGATCATTATGTTAAAAAGGCCACCCTGGCTGGCTTTGTGATACAAAATGAGTATTACAGGGGTTGCAAGCAAGAGAGATCAGTCAAGTTAGGAAGTCAGCTAATTAGGGAGATTACTGCTCGAGACAAGAAGTTGATTCCAAACTGAATCCCTTCCTCTTTTTCCAGCAAATGAAGCTACCTCCACCCGCAGGGAGTTTCCTACTGCTTGTGAGCTACTCAATTGGACTTCTTTGTAGATCTGACTAGAGAATGGGACTTTGTTACTTCTGGCTCTGCCAGTTCAGTTACTGCTTGGAGTAGTAGTATTCTGACTGTCACAGAATTTATTTCAAGCAAATGCACTGAGGACATCCGTCTAAGATGCCAACTTTAAAATCTTATGAATTGCATAAGCTACCTCTATTCCTCAAACAAGACTTTCCCATTAATGATCAAGCCTCATTATATTACACTTTAGCAGCTTCTGCATCATGTGAATTCACACATTCAGAAGTACCATACAACTACCACTTCACAAATTGTTTCTTTAGACGATGTATTATTTAGAGCACAATACTGATATGCGGACAACTAACGAAATGATAGAGAGGTAACTCCCACTATTCTTAACTTCCAAATCTCCCCTACTTCATAAATTACTTAAAGCAGCAATATTAAGCCAGTTAGTACTTTTAATGCTGAAATGTATATACTGAGGACCAATAACATCATGCATAATGGACTGCAGATGTCATTTGCCACTCTATTCACTCCAGCATTAATAAACTTCCAGCACACTGTTGGATAGTAAGGATAAGTTACTTCACCAACTTCAGGCAACCAAATTCCCTAGAACAGCATGGAAAACTGAAACAGTCTGGGAGAAAATGGACCTACTACCTATCCCCCACATTCCCAACCTTAGCAAATTCTTTTATCTAAATCTTCCTTTTCCCTTGAAGGTACCAACTAGCAACACCTTAACAAACCATTTCAATTTAGACATTCCCAAAATGAATGGCCTTACAGCTAACACATCAAAACAAAGCAACTGAGTCTTTTCTAGCATCTTGCCACCTCTCTAATCAACTGCATTTTTTATTTTTAAAAATCCCGGTTTCCTATTTTTCCCCTTTTTAAAAAATAGCTAGTTATACAGTACCTCATATGAAAAATGGGCTACTATTCCAAGGATAAGTCCAATGACAAATATAATTACAAGAATAGGTATTTTTGTTTCTTTCAAAACAGTTCGTAACAGGGCTGGAAAAAAATACATTGCTGTTACATATGTAATCAATATTACTTTTTATATCATTTCAAGAAAGAGTCTGTATGATATGTTAATAAAAATTTGCTTGAAGTGTTTAAGAGAAGACTATCCATTGACAATTCATATGCATGATCCAAAATCTCTTTTCAACTACAACATACAGATATAAAAGTTGTAAACTGTAAGTGGCTACTATGGCCTCAACAGCATCAACAAAAACCAAATGGATTCTCCCCTAAAGTACATCAAATATAAGCAGACAACATATGAAAACAAGCAAAGATGGCTTTATAGAGCCAGCTGCTTAGGTGCTATCACCAAGGCAGCCTTTCCTGTAGCCACCTGTTTCAGTTCAAATGGGGGAACCAACAGAGACATTTCATTAAATATCAAATGTTCCAGTTGGTTCATCATAACCTATTCCTGAGTTGTTTAAACATTGAATTACCAGTAGCACACAAACTTGCTGCTTTCCAACTGCTCTCCATTTCCTGTTCAACTGTTCAATTAACAAACCAGAAACCAGGGTTTGTATATGTAAAAATGTTTGTATATGTAAAAATATTCCTACATCTCAAGTACAGCATCAAGTGCATAAACCATTAGGAATTCATAAGCAGATTTTCCTTTAAAGCAGCAGCCCAAAATAAAGGAATTAGCACTCTTAAGGAAAAATTAGGTTTTCCTACTGGTTTTCTATAAGGTTCCATAATAAATTTGTTTGTAAGAAATTGGGGTGAAGGTAATTTAGAGGGTCAGGCCCACCATAGTTACAAAATAAATTTTCCTGCAAGTGGGAGGTCAGTAGCAACCACAGATTTTGGCTGGTCATTGAAGACTATTCTTATGCTTCTGTTAGCTCAAGGTATCACCTTCTGTTCTGTTTCATCCATTAATCTAAAATTAATCCATTTATCCTAAAATGTAAATCAGTCTTCAACACAGTCCTGCAGGCTTTCCTGCCCCATACACAGTATCTTTTCTTTATAGAAGCACATTTTGCACCTTGATTTTTAGAGGAAGGGTGAAGAATTCAGGGATCAGTGCACTATTGGGCCTTGGGAGGCAGGAAAGATGTGCAAGCAAGACTCACCAATGCTTTTCAGTTCTGGTTGTCCAGCTACCACTGCAGAAGCAAGCAGTGGAGCAGACATGTCTTCAAACATGGTATATCATTATGTCTGAACCCAGGTGGGCTAACAAGTCATGGCTTGTTAACCTCAAACAACCCTTTATGAGAACCCATAGATTATTGTTGAGTCATGAACTGCGGTGCAGTTTTTTCCACCACAGTATATTATCTCAGGTTCAGACAACACAATACCCACATTTCAACAACATTAAGTTTCAGTGACAAACACACTCAACTGACACAGCAGAGGGGTGTGACTATTTCCAGTAAATTTGGGGTTTGTAAAAAATGCACATTCTACAGTTTTCTGTTTCTTTGCACCAAACTCATAGTATTATTCTGTGTGTTTTGTTGTTTTTTATTCTATTGCAAGCAGCTTCCGAATTTGTTCCAACTTAGCTGCAGTAAATATATTTATCTCCAGTACGTGAAGAGGAAACAAACAGCAAACTTCCTGTTTCAAACCCTAACCCAATGCAGGACAAGGATGCATGACACAGATTCTGCTTCCCTAGGAACTCCAACGGGAAAAATCACCTCCAAGGGGGTAGTTCTGAAAAGGAGGCCTAGACTTTCGGTGGGCAACAGTTAAAGACCTCCTACCTCCCACGGCACAGCTGAGAAACACCAGCAGCACGACGATCGGCCGGTTCTTACGGATGATGTGGTACGTGCCATAAAATTGCTCCCCGTTATGGAAGCTTGGATCTAACGCGTCGTTCGCTTCTTGCCCGTTAACGGAGTGGGCCCGACGCATGGCACCTGCGTTGGCAAAGCTCAAGTTTAAGGGGCTCATCCCGCCTACGCTCCTACGCGCTCTCGAGTAGCGGGAGCGCCGCCGCCACGCCGCCTTTCTCTCTTCCCGCCAAGTAGGCTGGCGAGGCAAGGCGCCGCCTACTTGGCAAGCCAGCCACCTCCCCTGCGCTTCGACGCGCCCTCCTTCCCGCGACAGGGCCGTAGCGAGCGCTGCGGGCTCGCGCCGCGCCCAACAGTCCGCCGCTTCCCCGCCGAAGGCCGCGCGTGCCCAGTGTTCCAGACGAGCCCGAGCGGGCAGCAGGGGATCCCAGCGCGCGAGCAGCCGTTGGAGTTCGAGTTGGCGCGCCCGCGCCCGGTAGCGCGTGCAACGGGCTCAACGCTTCCCTAACGCGCGGGGAGAGGAAATGGTGCCCCGTTCGAGAGAGGCGACTGCGGAGTCTGGCGCAGCTCCCCTGGGCCCGCCTGCAAAAGGAAGAGCGGTGTGTGGCACCCAGCTTTGTGTCGACTCGGGCTAACACGGAAAAGCTCTCTGCCGATATAAATTTCTGAATACCTGTGTTTGCACTCTGTAACTTTGCCGAGGCCTCGACCCAAAGAACCCCCTTCATACAGAAATTCAAAAATTTTGCATGAATGTAACACTAGTGTCAAGAGAAATTGTTCAGCTGAAATGAAATCCTTAGTTGTGTTAATGCTGGCAATCTAATTTTCTGCTGAACTGTCCGCGGTTAAGTGTGGACTGTGGTCTACTGAATCAGATTAACAATGCACATAAGGTGGGATCAGGGTTAAGTTCGCTCTTAACGGTATAAAAACATTTCGACTTCATTTATTAAATTTCTTTCCTGCCCATTAGCCTGGATGACTCTCTGGGCAGCTTACAGAAAGAACATGGCAACAACATACACAAAATAATATTAAATCTAGCCTACTTATAACAATAACTATAAACACTGAAAATCCCCAGAACAAAACAATAGCCATGATTCAAATTAAGCCAAGAGCACAGTAGCACTAAAATACAATAACTATCATACAAAAAAAATCTCTTTAGAATTACTTTCACTATTAAAATACTGGGTAAATAAAAAGGTTTTCACCTGCACTGAAAGGAGTAAATAGAGGGCTGATAGTGGTATCACAGAGGAGCAGGCTGCTCTGAATTGCTGGGTGCATGCTTCAATGAAGAGCTTTAAAAAAAAATCTTGCTGGTGGTTCATTGTCTCCTGCAAAACTTTAGGCCAGACAGGGTTAGAGTCCCTGACACTATGAACCATGTTAGTACAGAGAGTAGCAGCAAATCTCCCCAGTTGTACTTTGGCTGACAACACAGGAAGGAGTAACTCCTTTTCTGTGTGCTGATCCTGTTTCTTTCCTTGTGTGTTCACAATATCTGCCCACCATTCCAGGCGTTGTGCTCTAATATTTGGAAGGCACCCAGCTGCCACCCATTGTGATGGGCAACTGTGAAAAAGTAATTTAAAGTCGATGTGGGCTCTCATGGATCCCATCCATTGCTAAGCAACCTTCAGGGTGAGAAAGGGGGTATTTTTCAGCAAAGATCAAAATGAGACTACAACACCTAGAAATAACACTAAAAAATGATGTCCTTATCATCATGGGGGACTGAAATGCTAAAGTAGGAACCCAAAAGATAACCAGAATAACGGGCAAGTTTGGCCTTGGAGTACAAAATGAAGCAGGGCAAAAGCTGGCAGAATTTTGTCAAGAGAACGCACTGGTCATAACACTCTTTTCCAACAACCCAAGAGACACATGGACATCACCAGATGGTCAACATAGAAATCAGATTGACTGTGCTCTGCAGTCAAAGACTGAGAAGCTCTGTACAGTCAGTAAAAATTGACTGTACCAGGAGCTGACTGTGGCTCAGATCATGAGTTTCTTGTTGCAAAATTTAGGCTTACATTGAAGAAAGTAGGGAAAAGCACTAGGCCACTCAAGTATGACCTCAGGCTCAGACTGTAAAATATGAAGCAAGAAAACAGCCCGAAGTACATTCTTATAGTCATGTTTCCCCACACACGTAAAGCTTCCAAGCACTTTAAATGCTGTTTAAAGATGTATTATTTCTCCTACATACCAAGAATAGTGTGTGCAAAATATTACACAGCTTAACAAGTTTGCTCCAGACTGTGGCAAATACAGTATAGATATATAGCAAAGCAGTCAAGCACTCATAACTGGAAAGTTTTCAGGGCAACCAAATAACAGCCATTATCTTGAGATCACCAGTCCTGTAAATCATATTTGAGTGTAGGCAAGGCAATCATTCTAGCCCAGTAATTCCCAAACTACTATAAACATGAAGCTAACCTACCCTGATGAATCAATGCATTGGCCCATCCTTTGTGTGTGAATCAAAAGTGGTTTTTAAAAATCTCAAGGCAGAGGTAGTTCTTAGCTCTGTCATCTGAGATCCTTTAAGCTGGATGTACAGTACCTGGACCATCTATTAGCAAAAGACATTCAACCATTCAGTTGTGGTTATTCCTGCAGTGAAATACCTTAAAAGATGTACTGCAATAATAGCACAATTCTATGCACGTTTAGAAAGGCAGGTTGAGAACTGCAGGACTTTTTTTCTGTCTAAACATGCTTTGGATTGCACCTTAATAGGTTTCAGGACCAATGCAGTTTTCAGGATTGCTGGCTTTGAGACTGCTTGCCCAATTGCTTTCTGTACACCCATAATACTTGACCACCTAGAGCATTTGTAAATGAATATCATGTGACAAAATTAAGAGAGCTAGTGTGGTGGAGTGGTTGAGAGTGCTGGACTAGGACTCAGGAGATCCAGTGTCTAGGCCCCACTCAGCCATGAAAGCTCAGTGGGTGACTTTGGGCCAGTCACAGGCTCTCAGCCCAACCTACCTCACAGGGTTCTTGTCATGAGAATAAAATGGAGAGGAGGAGAACTTGAGAGAGGTGACTGTGCTCTCTGGGGCAAGCCACCTTGGGTTCCATAGAAGAGGAATTAATGTGGGTCATACATGTAATATACTACTAATAACATGTCCTGCGGTGTTCTGTCTTCCCGAGGACACAACCTGTAAAAGTTTCCCTGGACTTCAGACTGCAGGGGACAATAGCATTACAGTACCACAGTACCATTAGGTTGCTGGATAGAACGCAGTATCCCTTAGATTAAAAAAAAAAGACTTATAGCACTAAATACTTAGCTTATTAAACACACACACACACAGAGACACACACACTCCTTTTGTATATTGCAGGGGAAAAAACATAAAGTCTCTGGAGACCTGATAAGGAAAGCAACTCTAGGTTTCAATGTCTGCACCCCCAGAAATTCTCAACCATTTGGAAGACTGGGGTACAGATGGAGGCAACAGTCCAGTCCAGTTATGCCATTGTATTGTCTTCTTTATGACTAAAGAAGATTAAAGCCTAAAATAATAAAAAACTCATAATTCTAGTCCTTTCTATAGGTCAAAGAGAAGGCCTGTAACAATTTATAGTTTCAATTTAACCCTCTAATTTTTAAAAGGATAGTGTTTAGATATAACTGTGTTTTTCAGTATTAAAATATAGTTTAAGCAGTATGATACTGAAAGATTCCATTCATTCAGACATTCAGAACTGCTGAAATAAAGAGTTTGGCTCTCATATAAATGCAAAGTTCTAATTCAATAATAGGACTCTTATTACATCCTGAGTCATAAGTAGAATTTAAAGGCTTTATATGCAGCTGCAGAAATTTCTATTGAGTTATGATGCTGCTGCTTTTAAACACAGAACTCAATATTGTTTGTAATATAGCAAGAAGGTTTAAGAGGAGTTAGTCTTCCTATTGTTTAGCATTAACATTCACAGTAACTGAAAGGGTTGCCTGATAGGGTATAACAAAGGCATAGGAAAAGTATGAAGTATCAAGGGAAAGGTTTGTTAATGTTTTTGAAAGTTTCCATTACAGTAAAATGGAACCTTTAAAAAGTGTTTAAAATCAAAAATCCAGTTCCATGCAATAATTTTCATTCATATTGCTGCCAAATTATTGGTTTAAATAACATGTTTCTATTAAAGGTGTTATTTTTATAACATTTATATTCATTTTATTTGTTCCTTTCCAGCACCGTGATAATACTGAATATTGTGACTATTCAACATTCATATATGGTATTTTAAAGTGAATAAATATGATAGTGTGTTGAACCAAAGCATTATTTTAATTGATAGCAAAATGCCACCATACTGGGAGTTGTACATTGCAAGTTTCACAATGTGCACATCTCTATGCACAGATACACTTTGCACCTGCTGCACAATCTCAGACCTCATTCACTTAGAAAGGAATGAGTGGGTTTAGTTACTAGGTTTAAATCAAGATGTACACTTGTGGCAGGAAGTAAACCTTTCCCTGTAGATCTCAGGCACTAAGAATTAATGCTGGTATTTGCTTAGTCCCACCCAGTTACCAAATAGTTGCACTCTGGGTTTGAATTCTTGGAGTAACAGAATATTGGGGAATGCAATTTATTTTTATATAATTTTTTACCACACTTTTTAGATTTATATTCCACAAAGCAGTTTATGAAGTCAATGCACATAAAACCATAGAAACACTAATATTATGAAGGCAGCAGGATATGTCCTCTAAATGAACCATTCAAAGAGCCAAGATTTTCTGAAAACTTTTCTCATTTAGGTGACCAGTTATCAATCCAGAATATTTGGGCTGCAAACATTAATATTAAGGATACTTTTATTCTTATACGAGGCACCTCAGAATATGAAGTTATCATTATGACTATATATACTAATCCAGACATGTTATATTCTGTAAAAAAAATTCATTGCTGTCATTTCCCCAATCTTCACTATGAGTAAGAGGGATGATGATGGTTGTATCACTTCCCACCACAATAATCAGTCTTGAAGCAACTTACACACACAGTACTGGAATCTATGATTTATGTAACAGAAAAACTCAAAATCAGTACATAAGAAGTCATAGAAATAAACATAAATACCAATATGAATATGTGATCATTTTGAATA